ACACACACACACACAGGCTGATGGCTGTGCAGTACAGACAGACAGACTCTCTTTAGTGTGTGCATGCGTGATGATGAGTCTCTCTCTCCAGCATGCAGAGCCACAAAAACTCCCATCATCCTCCTCCTCGTGTGCAAACGTGTGATTCTGTACATATTTATTGACGGAGGGGTTGTTTTTGCTGCTAACTGACTACTGTCTCTTCATAACTTCCTCACATCAGTCCCACGTCGATGAGGTTTTTTAAATACAAAAAAACGAGGATTATAATTCTGTTGAAATGTCGCAGCTGTCCTTTCGTTGGAGTGTTTGGAGTTCCTCATCATTATTTTTGGCCTGGAAAACTAAAAGACTGGCTCATTCCGAAACGTGTCATTTCAAGAGAAATCCAAAATAGCGCCCCGAAAAAAGTGGATGTTCCTCAAAACGGGGACCATCACCGAATCTGAAAGTGTGAAAAACAAACACTGGACCAGCAGGAACTTTGTGACCTCAACGTTTTCAACTTCTGCTCTTCTTCAGAGTGAAAAAAGAAGAGAAGAGCTACCTGTCGGGATTGAAGTGTGTGAATGACGGATGCTTTTTTATTTCATTTAGTTTTGTATTCTTTATTTCACAGTTGGAGCTCATCAAAGGATTTTTCTCCTATTATAAGAAACAGTTCACACACAAATACCGATTCACTCACCCTCTGTTTCTTCTCAGAAGAAGATATTTTGAAGAATGTTGGAATCCATAGTATTTATTATGCAAATCCAAGATGGAATTTATTTTTAATTATCATGAATCTGTGACTGCCAGTTTCTAACATTCTGCTTTGTGTTCTCAGTGAAACTGAGGTAAACTATGAGCAAAAATGGATTTATTTTGTTCCCGATTATAATTGTTTGAGGTGAACTGTCCCTTTAACAGAGCTTGGCAAGTAGAAATCTTTATATTTCATTTTTTGTTTGTTTGTTTTTTTCTGTTGGAGCTCATCAAAATGACTTCTCTCCTACTAGAAGAAACAGTTCACGCAAAAAAACAAAGAAGATAATAAGAAGATATTTTGAAGAATGTTCCAAACTGTTGAATTCTATAGTATTTCATTTCTATTTACGACTACCATTTTTCCAAAATTTCTCCTTTTTGTTCTTAGTAAGTAAACAGTATTTTTCCCTTGATCGTTATTTTTTTTTTTAGGTGAATTGTCCCTTTAACAAGAGCTTGGCGACTATAAATATGTTGTTTTTTTGTGGGGTTTTTTGTTTTCAATTTTGCAGTTTTTTTATACTTTATTTTACAATTGAAGCTCATCAAATGACTTTCCTCCTATTAAAAGGAACCGTTCACACAAAAACCGATTCAGTCACCATCCGTTTCTTCTCAAAAGAAGATATTTTGAAGAATGTTCCAAACGGTTGAATTCCATAGTGTTTCATTTGCATCTATGACTCCCGGTTTTCAGCATTTTTCAATTTTATTTCCTTTTTGTTCTCAAGGAAACTCAAGTAAACTGTGAACAAAATGGAAAGAAGATATTTTGAAGAATGTTCCAAACTGCTGAATTCCATGGTATGTCATTTGTATCTATGACCACCAGTTTCCAACATTCTTCAAAAATCCTCCTTTTTGTTCTTAAGTAAACTGAGCAAAAATGGATTGATTTAGTTTCCGATTATAATTGTTTGAGGTGAACTGTCCCTTTAACAGAGCTTGGCGAGTAGAAATCTTTATATTTCATTTTGTTTGTTTTTTTATTCTTTATTTTACAGTTGGAGCTCATCTAAATGATCTTTTTTTGCTATTAAATGGAGCAGTTCACACCCCAAATAACGATTCACTCAACCTCTGTTTCTTCTTAAAAGAAGATATTTTGAAGAATGTTCCAAACTGTTGAATTTTATAGTGTTTAATTTGTATAAGACTACCCAACATTCTTCAAAATGCCTCCTTTTTGTTCTCAGCGAAACTCAAGTAAACTGTGAGCAAAATTTGGTAATTTTTTTCCTGATTATACTTTTTGAGGTGAACTGTCCCTTTAACAGAGCTTGGCGACTATAATTATTTGTTTATTTCATTTTTGTGTATTCTCTATTTTACATTTCGAGTTCATCAAAATGTCTTTTCTCCTGTTTAAAGGAACAGTTCATGGAAAAAATATTCAGTCACCCTCCGTTTCTTCTTAAAAGAAGATATTTTGAAGAATGTTCCAAACGGTTGAATTCCATAGTGTTTAATTTGCATCTATGACTCCCAGTTTCCAACATTCTTCAAAACGTCTCCTTTTTGTTCTCAAGTGAACTGTGAGCAAAAAATGGATGAATTTTTTTCCGATTATAATTGTTTGAGGTGAAATGTCCCTTTAACAGAGCTTGGCGACAATAAATATTTATATTTCATTTTGTTTGTTTTTTATTCTTTATTTTACAGTAGGAGCTCATCAAAATGACTTTTCTCCTATTAAAATAAGCAGTTCAAGCTAAAAAAAAAAGGGAAAAAAAACGAGTCACTCACCCTC